TTAGGCACGACAAGCAATAGGGTGAGGAATGGCCCATGTTGGGTGTGCATCAAGAATGTAAAGTGCTAACATTCGAGAGGATGTGAAGCTCTGGAGATTGGGAGATTTGCTTGAATGAGTGGAGTGGAGTGGATATCATAGGAGTGATCTTGAGTCAGGGCGCAGAAGTAGGAAAGGATTTCGTGAGTATTAGAGAGTGGTAATGGGGTTTATTGGAAATTCATAGACAGCAAAGTAAAGTTGTCGTAGTCTTACCAGACCATAGGGCTGCTCTTCCCATTAGAGAGAGAAGGCTGGTGGTGGTTTAAACTGAGGATCGCCAGATCTCAGGCGAGGTGAGAGGTTGAAAAGGAGACTCCTTCATGATAACCTCAGTCCGTGCAGGAATTGAACCCATGCTGTTGCCCTCGCTCTATATTGCAAGCCAGCTGTCCAGCCAACTTAGCTAACTGATAGAGAAAGTAGGAACTGCAGATGCTGGAGAATCTGAGACAACAAGGTGCAGAGCTGGATGAACACAGCAGGCCAAGCAGCATCATAGGTGCAGAAAATTTTTCTGATGGGTCTAGGCCCGAAACGTCAGCCTTTCTGCACCTATGATGCTGCTTGGCCTGCTGTGTTCATCCAGCTCTGCACCTTGTTGTCTTGGCTAACTGATACCCTACATTATGCAGAAGCTTTTCAGAGAAGCTAAACAAAGAGCTTGTGTGTTTTGAAGTGTAAGATTTCAAGGGTATGAGATAGAGTGGATACCTGGAGGATTTTCCCCTTGTAGAGTAGACTAAAACTATGGGATTGTGTTCTTGCAGGAAGATGGGTGACAGGAGGTGTAGTCTAGGTTCTTGCCCACCTTTCTGCAAGAATATGATCCCCTACTCCCGATTCCTCCACCTCTGCCATGTCTGCTCCCAAGATGGGGCGTTCTATTCCCGAACATCCCAGAAGTCCTCTTATTTCAAGGACCATAACTTCCCCCACTCGGTGTTCTCGACCGCATCTCTTGCGTTTTGCGCATCTCTTGGTTTTGCGCACCTCTGCCCTCACTTCCACTTCCTGCAACAAAAACAAGGACAGAATCCCCCTTGTCCTCACATATCGCCCCACTAACCTCTGAAGTTACTGGTGGGTTATGCCCCTGAAGTTAGGGGTGGGTTATGCTGTATCATTTGAAGTGAAAGGGACTCCCTTTGCTGTTGACAGAAACCTGCTCTGATCTCTCACCCTCCTGCACGCTGTCACTATGGTTTACCCCCAGCTTCCTGGCTCCAGATCAAACTATGTATTCAACGTATCATTCTCCGCCACTTCTGCCACCTGCAATCCAACCCCACAACCAAAGATATATTTCTCTCCCACCGCTATCAGCCTTTTGTAGGGCCTGTTCTCTCCGTGACTCCCTCGTCTGCTCCACACTCCCCAATAACCCCACCACCCCCAGTACCTTTCCCTGCAACCACAGGAGGTGCTACATCTGCCCCTACACCTCCTCCCTCAGCTCCATCCAAGGAACCAAACAAACCTTTCAGATCAGACAGACGTTCACCTGCACATCCGTCAATGTTTTCTGTCGCATCTGCTGCTCCCGATGTGGCCTCCTCTACATTGGGAGACCAAGCTAAGACTCGGAGACCGCTTTGTAGAGCACCTGCACTCTGTTCGCAACAAACGACAACACCTTCCAGTCGCGAACCATTTCAACTTCCCCTCCCACTCCCTGGGCGACATGTCCATCCTGGGCCTCCTCCAGTGTCGCAATGATGCCACCCGGAAACTGGAGGAGCAGTACCTCATATTCCGCCTTGGGAACCTACAACCCAATAGTCTAAATGTGGACTTTACCAGTTTCAAAATCTCCCCACCCCCCGGCTTCATCCCATGTCCACCCCTCCCTCTCATCCACACCTCCTTGACCTGACACAACCTGTCCATCTTCTCTCCCACCTGTCTGCTCCTCCCACCTCACTGACCAATCCCCACCACTGCCTACCTGCACTCACCTATCACCATCCCACCTACCTTCCCCAGCCCCACCCCTTCTCTCTGTTTATTTCAGAGTCCCCTTCCCCCTCCCCTGTTTCTGAAGAAGGGTTCCAACTCGAAATGTCAACTTTCCTGCTCCTTTGGTGTTACCTGGCCTGCTGTGCTCCTCCAGCCCCACAGTGTTATCAAGTGAATGCAGATGTTTACTAGAAAGAATCTAAGTATAGCCATGCTACTCAACAAGGAACTTCAAAGTGGTAACAGGGTAATACTTCACTGGAGGTTTGAGGACCTACATGGCTTTTGCTTCTAATATTTCTATTCAGACAATTTAAAATAGATCTTCTGTGGTGTAAAACAGGTGTTTTCTTTTTCCTTTTATGTGCAATTTGATATCCTTTTGTTGAAAGTAAATGGGCAACCTCTACTGGATATGTCCAGTGACTGACCACAATGATCCACAAATTACAAAAATAGTATTTATGGTCTATTGATTATCAATTTGAGTATGGTGGGTGTGCTGTCTGCTTGGAGGCTTTATATCGAGCATATTGTATTCAGTACGATGACATCGGGAACATGACAGACAGCATCAGCCCAGATACTATCTGAGTGGAGGCACAACAAGGTCCTGCTTTTAGAAGATATTATTCAGCCCCATGTGTTGTTGCACTGGTCCAAGACTTTAAAGGAGCCCTGTAACCTATGGATTCTATATATTATGACGAATTCCTGGCTCAGTCTTGCTTTCTCCATATAAGAGTAAATAATTATAGTTATTATTAACATTAACATAACAGATGTGCCAATATTTCAAATTTCAACTTCTTATAGTTTTGAAATCCAAATTTAAATCAGCATTTTGTGCTTCCATTTTTCTCTCTCTCCTCCCACACTTCCTCTCACAAAGCTGTCTCTCTCTCTCTCCTCCCACACTTCTTCTGACTATGGCAGCTGTTACTAGTAGTCAGGACTCGTGTGGTACAGTGGCAGTGGTTCTACCTCTGAGCCAGGAAACCTGGGATCAAAGTGTTCAAGATAGGTATTAACAGGCTGAGGCAGTAGGCCATGGAGGGAATGGTGGCACCCAACTGCCTACCTCTTGCGTGCTTCTGTCCATGCTCAGATATCCTCAGCGAGGGAGTATGCGGTATCAACTGGCATGTTTCAGGCCTTCCACAACTAGTGGCCACGGTGGGGCTAGGGTGCATTAACATGGACCCTATTGGCAAGTTCATGATGCATTATCATTTGGAACCTTGATCTAAAGAGGACAGAACCATGTGTAGCTTTAACAAGGGTTTTGTTAAAGACCTCTCTTAAATACATGAAACAAAATTCCAGATAATTCTGCCCTCTTTAGAGTCAATATTCCAAATAATAATGCATCATGAATCTTCAGGATCTAGAGGAGCTGGACAATCAAGTTCACCTGTAGTGCCCATGGTGGTCATTGTGTGCTGTACCATTGCATCTTCTGAGGCTTTCACATCAGAGATTGGAATGAGTCCCTTGGGGCTTGTAGCTGAAGCATGTAAAAGTTTACCTGTGCAGGAGGTGAGAAGGATGAGATTTATGGTCATATTTCAAATTCGTTGTGATTGCGAGCACACAGCATTCCACAGTAGCAGAATCTGAAAGAGCATTGAGACATTCCTAGGTGTTTGCATGCTAGAATTAGTGAAATGCACATTTTCTGGAACCCTCAATCAATTTGAGTCCTTACTATCTCAAGTAAAAAATGTCACCTGTAGGGTTGCAGGCTCTCCCCTAATCCTCTTAGAAACCTTCTGTCTCCGTTGCTGACAAGGCTCCTCAATCCTTGTCTGGACCAGTGGTGCAGCCCCACTCATTTGTAGGAAACCCTCCTCAATGGCTGTGAGGATGGCCAGGTCGATGCCTCCACCTGCTCTCTTCTTCTTTTTCTTGTCACCATGTGCCCACTTTTCCTGCAATTAAGTGTGATAGAGCATTGACATGCATCCTCAGGGGCAGTCATTCCTCCTCAGTAATTTTTTTTATTCACTCTTAGGATGTGGCTGTTGCTGTTTGGCCAGCATTTATTGCCTGTCCCTAGTTGCCCTGAGAAGGTGGTGATGAGCTGCAATCCACCTGCTGTAGGTTAACCCACAATACCCTTAGGGAGGGAATTTTAGGATTTTGACCAAGCGACAGTGAAGGCGAGAGATATATTTCCAAGCCAGGATAGTAAGTGACTTGGAGGGGAATTTTATAGGATTGAAATTCCTATGTATCTGCTATCGTTGTCCTTCCAATTGTTATGCATTTGGAAGGTGCTGTGTAAGAATCTTTGGTGAATTTCTGCAGTGCGTCTTGCAGAAAATACACACTGCTGCTTGCTGAGTATTGGTGCTAGAGGGAGTGGATGTTTGTGAATGTGGCGGCAGTCAAGTGGGTTGCTTTGTCTTGGATGGTGTCGAGCTTTTTGAGTGTTCTTGGAGCTGCAGCCATCCAGGCAAATGGGGAGTATTCCATCAGACTCCTAACTTGTATCTTGTAGATGATGGACAGGCTTTGGGAAGTCAGGTGAACTACTCACTGCATTATACTTAGCCTGTGACCTGCTCTTGCAGTCACCGTAATTATACGGTAAGTCCAGTTCAATTTCTAGTCAGTGGTAACCCCTGTGATGGGGATAAATGAGTGATGGTAATGCCATTGAATTTCAAAGAGAATTGGTAGATTGCCTGGTATTTGTTTGGCATGAATAATACTTCGCACTTTTTTGACCAAGCATCGATGTTGTCCAGGTGTTGCTACATTTGGACATGGACTGCTTCTGTATCCAAGGAGTCATCAATAGTGCTGAAAATTGACCAAGCAGCAGTGAGCATTAAAGTGTACACTGTCATCACATAGTGGACATGTCACTTGTAACCTTACAATGATGGGAAGGTCATCAATGAAGCAGCTGAAGATGGTTGAGTTGAGGACACTACCTTGATAAACCCCAGCTGAGATGATCTGGGGTTAAGATGACTGACTTCAAACAACCACAACTGTCTTACATTGTGCCAGGTATAATTCCAACCAGTGGTGAGTTTTTCCCTGATTTCCATTGATTCAGCCTTTGCTAGAGCTCCTGCATGCCATATTCAGTCAAATATGGCCTTGATATTAAGGTTAGTCACTGTCACTTTACCATCTCAGTTGTGAACTTCATGTTCTGCCAAATCATTGCTGGGCAATTAGCAGAGCTGAATCTAATGGCTTCAAATCTGCTTTATCCCCACATTGACCTCTAGATGATGTATTTTGACATTTGTGAACTCTCTTCTTACACTTTCAGGAGTTAAACAAGATGATAACCAGATGACACCTTGTTCACTTAAATATTCCTCTGTACTAGAGATTTATAGAATACATTCATTTCATGAGTGAATGAAACACAGAAAGGAAGAGGCATTACCATGTCATTGATGGAGGTAGGAAGCAATAATCCAATAATGGAGCCTTGTTGTACCCAGCAATTAATACTCAGTACATCTGAGTAGGTCAAATCAAAACATGCAAATTGCTTCCTGTCTGTGTCGGAACTTTGGAACGATGAAAGAGCAATTTCTCAAAGTCCGTCATATTGCAACTTCAAAAGAAGAGTAGCATGATTCCCATCAACAACAACAAAAACAAAGTTGCTGGAAAAGCGCAGCAGGTCTGGCAGCATCTGTGAAGGCAAAAACAGAATTAACGTTTCGGGTCCGGTGACCCGTCCTTAGAACAGTTCTGAGGAAGGGTCACCAGACCCGAAATGTTAATTCTGTTTTTTCCTTCACAGATGCTGCCAGACTTGCTGAGCTTTATCAGCAACTTTGTTTTTGTTCCTGATTTACAGCATCCGCAGTGCTTTGGTTTTTATTTAGCACGATCCCATATCTAAAATGCTTTTCTGGGATCCGTGAAAACCTCTACTATGTCACTCTTGTGCTGAGGAATTTGATATTCTATCCAACACCTCAGTGAGTGCCAAGTTAGTGGAATGATGTTATCCAAAACTTTTCACTGAAAGAGTTCAACAGATCATTGAAATAACAGATGTCAGAGCAATGTCGTAGCTGCTTTGTGGATAAAGTCATTTCTATAGAATCCCTACAGTGTGGAAACAGGCCATTTGGCCTAACAAGGCCACACAAACTCTTCCCCCCATTTTATCCCTGTAACTCTGCACTTCACATGGCTAATCCACATAACCTACACATGCCTGAACACTGTGGGCAATTTAGCATTGCCAATCCATCTAAGCTGCACATCTTTGGACTGTGGGAGGAAACCAGACATAGGGAGAACGTGCAAAATCCACGCAGTCACCCGAGGCAGGAATTAAACCTGGATCCCTGGTGCTGTGAAGTAGCAGTGCTAACCATTGCGCCACTTGAATACTAACTTTTCCTGATGCATGAATCAGAACAGCTATATCCTGTTACATCTTGGACTTCTACAGTCAGTCATTCTCCATTCACTTTTTCACTTGTCCTGCCAAAGTGAGTAACTTTCAATTTTCCCATATTGTACTCCTTTTATCAGATTGTTGCTCAATCACTCAACCTATCCACCTGCAACCTCTATGTCTTTTTCACAACATACTTTCCTCCTGTCTTTGTACCATTTGCAAACTCAGGTAGCATACCATTGATCGCTTCATCTACGTTAGCTTTCCACATATATGTTGCTAGTGAATAATCTGGTCAACCTTGCTACAAAAACTGGTTTTGAAGGAGCACTCGATGGTCAAGAATGGGAACCCTGGATGATCTTTTTGCCTGTTTTAAAAGAAGTGGTAATGTACCTTGGAAGAAGAAAATATAAACTATATTTTGGTGAAAAACATGCGACTTCTTCCTCATATCTATTTTATCTCACTTAATTACAGTTCCGTAAAGAGGGGAAAGGAGGCCAATTGCTCAGTGTTCTCTTGCAAATGCTTTTTAGGGAAGATGAAAAACAAAAGAAACAAAAATCCAATAATATTAGACCATAAGATATAGCAACAGAATTAGGCCATTCAGCCCATCAAGTCTGCTCCATCATTTGATCATGACTGATGTGCTTCTCACCCCTATTCTCCTGCCTACACCTCATAACCCTTAATCCCCTTATTAATCAAGGACCTATCTATCTCTGTCTTAAATGCACTCAATGAGTTCCACAGATTAACCACCCTCTGGCTGAAGATATTCCTCCTCGTCTCAGTTCTAAAGGGTCAATTCCCTCAGGTCCCAGATTCCCTGACTATTGGAAATATCTTGTCCACATCCACTCTATCCAGGCCTCTCAGTACTCTTGTAAATTTACAATCAGATCCCTCCTCATCCTTCTAAATGCTATTGAGTGCAGACCCAGAGCCCTCAACTGTTCCTCCTATGACAAGCCCTTCATCCCCGGGATCATTTTTGTAAACCTCCTCTGGATGCCCTCCATTGCCAGCACATCTTTCCTAAGACATGGGGCTCAAAACTACTCACAATATTTCAATTCGGTGTTAGGATTGTGTGTTGTAAAGTTGGAACAGAAAATGTGCACTTAAGTAACTTTGTTAAACTATGACAAATGCTTACCTTCTCTCTTTTCCGTTCCATTGCCTAAATCTCAGTGTTTCTTGCACACTGGAGTCATTAGAAAACCACAGCTCTTTCTTTCGCATTGAGGCAAATCTGATTCTTCTTGTGCATTACCTACCATCATATATTTATGGTTCCTAATTCTAAACTGTCCCTTGAGCATAAATATCTTTCGCAGTTAGTACATCAAACCATAAGAAATAGGAGCAGGAGTAGGCCATGAGGCCCATTGAGCCAGCTCTGCCATTCAACAAGGTCGTGGCTGATCTTTTTGTACACTCAGCTCCACTTATCCGCCTGCTCACCATTGCCCTTAATTCCTTTTACTGTTCAAAGATCTACCGTCTTTGCCTTAAAAACATTCAAGGAGGTAGCATCAACTGCTTCACTGGACAGGAAATTCCACAGATTCATAACCCTTTGGGTGAAGTGCCTCCTCAACTCAGTCCTAAATCTGCACCCCCTTATTTTGAGGCTATACCCCCTTCTCTAGTTTCACCCGCGAGTGGAAACAACCTCGCTCCTTCTATCTTATAAATTCCCTTTATAATTTTTTAGATTTCTACAAGACCTCCCTCTCATTCTTCTAAATTCCAATGAGTATAGTCCCAGTCTACTCAATCTCTCCTCATAAGCCATACCTCTTGATTCCAGAATCAACCAAGTGAACCTCCTCTGCACTCCCCTCCAGTGCCATTACATCCTTTCTCAAATAAGTTCTTCATAATCTTAAAGAACTTGATCAGGTCACATCGTCAGCATTTTTTCTGTTCTGAGAACACAGCCACAGCTTGTTCAAATTTTCCTGCATGTTATATTTTTCTTATTTCTGTCAGGATATTAGTATATCCTTCTTGCATATTACCCACTGCCTTTCTATCCATTTGGTGCAGGTTTCCTGCTATCTTGTTGTGCTTGTGGATGTTTTAAAATGCTAAGGAATAAAAAATAAGTACCTAGATAAGGGAATACACTTTTGAAAACCTGATTTACAAATTTCCTGGAAATAGGGGTGCTCTCTATTTTGGGGCAGTTAGGCCAGCCTTTATTGTTCATCCCTCATTGACCTGAAGAAGGTGCTGGTGAGCTGCATTCTTGAACCTCTGCCATTTCAGGTTGTAGGTACATCCATAGTGCTGTTCAGCAGGATGTTACTTGAGCTTGACCTAGTGATCATGAAAGAACGGCAATATTTTCCAACTCAAGATGGTGTCTGGCTGGAAGGAGAAATTGCAGGTGATGGCTGAATGTGTAGGTTTGGAAGGTGCTGTTGAAGGAGTCTTCATGAGTTTATTGAGATGTATACACTGCTGCCAATGTGCATCTTTGGGGGAAGGTGGTGGATTGGGTGCCATGTAAGAGGGCTGCTTTGATCTGGATTGTATTGAGCTTCTTAAGCATTGTTGGTGCTACACTCATTCAGGCAAGTGGAAAGCATTCCTTTGCACCCAAGACTGATGTAGATGGTAGAATGACTTTGGAGAGTCAAGAGGTGAGTTGCTGACCATAAAATTCTTAGCCTCTGACCTTCTCTTGCAGCCACAATATTTATATTTCCCAGACAATGACAATCCCAGGATGTTAGTTTAGCGGATTCAGCAATGGAAATGCCATGGTACATTTGAGGAATGATTAGATTCTCTCTTGTTGGATATAGGCATTTCCTGGGACTTAAATTGCATTAATGTAAATTGGTACTTATTGTCCAAGCCAAAAAGGTAATCTGTTTTTGCTGTTTTTGGGTGAGAGATGTTTCAGTATCTGAAGATGGTGCTGAACATTGTGCAATCATTGGCGAACATCCTCACTTCTGACCTTTTGATGGAGGGAAGGTCACTGATGAAGCAGCTGTAGACGGTCGGGTCTAGGAGACTACCCTGATGAACTCCCACAATGACATCTTTCGACTAAGATGACTGTCCTCCAAAAATAGCAGTCATCTTCTGTGTAAGATTTTGGAGTTCATGTCAACTTTAATTTTAAGCCAATTTCAATTATAGTCTGAGTTTTAAGAGAACCAATCTAAAATTCTACTAGTCTTGATTAGTTACAAGGTACAAGTATGTTTTGTCAAGTTTTACAGAATCTATTAAGTCTATCATAGTAGTTACAGAATAAATGATCATTTAAAATAAAATCAAGCTGTAGATTTCAGCTTGTCCGCTTTGGGATATGATACTGGTTTGACTCGATGCTGGTTTCTTGTTCTGTTCATTAGAAGTTCTTCTATTTTTGACCTTCCTTGTGCACTGAACAACTAAAACAGAGCAGCATAGTGGCTCAGTGGTTAGCACTGCTGCCTCACAGTGCCAGGGACCTGGGTTCGATTCCACCTTTGGGTGACTGTCTATGTGGAGTTTGCACATTCTCCTCATTCTGCATGGGTTTTCTCTGACTGCTTTGGTTTCCTTCTGCAGTCCAGTGATTTGCAGGTTAGGTGGATTGGCTGTGCTAAATTGCCCATAGTATCCAGGAATGTTCAGGCTAATTGGATTAGCCATGGGAAATGTGGGGTTACAGCAATCGGATGGGGGGGTGGGCTACTCTTCAGAGTGTCGGTGTGGACTCTAGACTGCTCCCACACTGTAGGGATTCTATGATTTGTTCTTCAATTTTATATTTGTGTAAAGCTAATGTCTATTAAAAGCAACACTGACTTCCCTTGTGAACTTTCTAGTTACATTGAAATATATCAGTGATAAATTTTTGTAACCTTGGTTGATTGCCTGTTTTCACTTCTAGCAAAGTTCTTGAGCAGATTTCAATTATGTATAAATATATATTTGCACTTTTACAAACTCTGAATATGAAGCTATCTGATTATATTTTCCATTATGTCCTCTTACCCTTAAATTTATACTTCTCAGTAACTTTTATTGTGCAATTGTTCAAACTTTATGGAAAATCCTTTCTTTAAATTTTTGAGAACTAAAATTCTAAATGTATTTCATTTATGCAATTTGAGTGTCAATGGCCAGGCCAGCATATATTGCACATCTCTAATTGCATCAAATCGTTTTGGTTCCGGTGTTTAGGTGCTCCATTATTGCTGTAAGGAAAGGAGTTCCAGGATTTTGATTCAGCAATAATAAAGAACAATGATGTCATTCTAAGTCAGAATGATATTTGATTTTGCTGGGACCTTGCAGGTGGTTGTATTCCCAAGCTTCTGTTACACTTGTCCTTATAGGTGGTAGAGGTTTCATGTTTGGAAAGTGCTATTGAATAATGCTTGGTCAGTTATTGTAGTACATCTTGTAGATGGTATGCTGGAGGGAATGATTAAGGTGGTGGATAAAATACCAATCGAGTGGGCTATTTTCTCCTGGATAATGATGAGCCTCTTGAATGTTGTTTGAATTGCACTCATCCAGACAATTGAAGTGTATTCCATTACATTCTTGACTTGTGGCTTATAGAAATTGGATAGAGTTTGGGGAGTCAGGCAGTGAGTATCTGCTACAGAATTTCCTGCCTTTGACTTGCTTTCGTTACCAGAGTGTTCTTATGGCTTGTCCGGTTATGTTTCTAGTCAATGGTAACCTCCAGGGTCTTGATATTTGGGCATTGTATAATGCCACTGAACACCATGGGGGGATACAGTGGTTAAAATCTCTTCCATTCAGGTAGTCTTTGCGTGGTACTTGAATGGGGTGAATGTTACTTGTCACTAATTAGCCCAAGCCTGAATGTTGTCCAGGTCTTCCTGCATGAGGGCATGGATTGTTTCAGTATCTGAGGAATCGCAAATGGTTCTGAACATTATGCCATCATCAACAAACATTCCCATTCTTGACCTTTCTGGTGGAAGGAATATCATTAATAAAACATCTGAAGATGGTTGGGCTGCAACACTGTCCTAAGGAACTCCTGCCACAATCTCCTGGGACTGAGATGACTATCCTCTGACACCCATAACCAGCCTGCAACAATCACAGGGACCTTCCTCCTTGCTAGTTTTGGTGCAGAGTTTTCTCCTTGGTTCCCATTGACTTCAATTTCGCTTGGGCTCCTTTTTGTCACACTTAGTCATATATATTTTTGATATCAAAGGTGGTCACACTCAACTCACTTCTGGAATTCAGTTGTCTTAAGTATTTTATTCATGTAAAAAACAGAAGCCTATCTGACTTCAGCATCACCAACCTGCAGAAGTGTCTTTTCAGTATCAGCAAGTTAGATGGCACCACCACATCAGTTTAATAATATCTTTAATTAAAAATTAACCCTGGATCTTGGAAAATACTGCAGACTGTTGGGCAAGTTTGACCTGTATTTGTCATTTTATTTCAGTGAAACCTGGATTGGAAGTTACTGAATAAACCAAAATGGTCCTAGTGTTCCCCAAAATTTCCCTGAAGCCAGAGGTGGAGGCATATCTCCTAAGTGTCTTTAAAAATAAAGAGGTAATGATGCTTTTAAAGAAATGTCATTCAGAAGAAGTAAATTGAAAAGATACTATTAAGAATTATGAAATAATAGGTAGTACTCTGACTCAATGGCATAAGTTACTATGGCACATATTTAGATTGTAGCGATTGCTAAAGTTCTTTGTAAAAGGCAATGAACAAATTAAATTCAAATATTCAAAATCATTCAAAAAATTAGTCATTGATTGTAATGGAGAAATTCAGCAGCATTCCACATTTCTTTAGAGCCAAATCAAATATAAACATCACGGCTTAACATTTTAATCGCGTTTCTGACAGTAGCATTGGAATGAAAAAGAGGAAACAAATAAACAGATTGCTGACTCTGGGGATTCACAGCACAGTCTATAGCAGTGCAGGTTTTCCTTCAACAACAGGACTTCGGTATTTATCTTCCCTTGACGTTTAACTCAGTTATAATACAGGAGATATTTGTCATGAGCCTTGACAATCACTGTCGAAAACTCCAAGCCTATAATTTCAAGCATAGTGGCCCGAATTTTGAGAGCTGGGTTTGGAATCTCCATTGCCCACTTACTTTTAGAGGAATTTTCGAGACAAACTTCCATGAAAGATCTGCAGTGCAGTCCAGGCGAGGACTCCGCAGACAGCAATGGTGTGAATCGGCATTGTAACCATGCCCGCTTTTGCAGCAGCAGATGCTGTTTATCTTGATTTAAAGGACACTGCAACAGCTATTTAGAGAAGGTAAGTGAGGGATTACAGTGCTGGGGTTGCAGAATCAGTGGTGGGGACTGCTGGATTGGGGTTTATAGTTGCAGTTTGGCTTTGGTTTCAGTTGTGGGCAGCATGGTAGTATAGTGGTTAGCTCTGCTGGTTCACAGCGCTGGGGGCCTGGGTTCGATTCTAGCCTTGGGTAACTGTCTGTGTGGAGTTTGCACATTCTCCCCATGTCTGAGTGGGTTTCCTCTCACTGTCCAAAAATGTTTATCCTAAATTGCCTTGTGCTGTCCAGGGATGTGTAGGTTAAGTGGATTAGACATGATAAACGCCGGTATATGGCGACATGGTAGGGAGTGTGTTTGGGTGGGATGCTCCTTGGAGGATCAGTGCAGACTCAATGGGCTGAAAGCCTCTACCTGCACTGTAGGGATTCTGTGATTCAGTGGGGATCTGGAGTGGGGGAGGGTGGTTTTAACAAGTCAGGGTGGGGGAGTCTGGTGCTTGTGGAAGATCAGTGGTGAATCAGTTTCAGTTTTATAGTTAGCCAGGAGTTAGAACAAGACTTCATCCCTTTGACTTTTCCTTGCTAACTATAAGGTAAGTGAGGTGGAACTCTGAGGCCTCTATTTCTAACTCAGTCTTTGGTACTTTTTTTGGGGGTTTCCAAAATTCAACTTCCTGATAGTTCTTGTGGAGTCAGCTGCATAGGTTCTTCCACATGGTCTCAAAGTACAACAGGTACCTACACTTCAACGACTACCATATTCTTAATGCATTTTCTGGGCCTTTAAGTCCTACAATTGCTAATTCGATGCACCTAAAAACTGATTTTACCATACTGTTTAATCATGTTTCTTAATTCTTTATTTTAAGAATATACATTGTATCTTTAGGTTTTGGCAACTTTACAATCTGAACAGTCCAAGTTTAAATTTGAAACTCTATTGAGCCGTTTATCGCATCCTCCAGCTTGCACATGCATCAGGGTCAATACTTGTGCAGCCTCCACTGATGAAGTTAAAAAGCTGTTGACAGAAGAGATCCAGAAGGTTTGATCTATTTCAATTTGTTCGTACTTTAAAGATGTGAAATTGTTCTCTGACTTCACGAGGCTAACCAGACCTCCCTATCTCATTTTTTTCTGTATATTATTTTGTCTGAATATAATATGTTAAGTAACATATAGATCACAATGAGGTTCAGAACAACACCACGATTAATTTATTTAGAAAAGTTACCAGCAAGTTATTCTATTTAAATTGTTGAGCTATGAAGTTTGGCAATACAAAATTATTTATTTTAGTTTAAGTACCCATACAATTTATGTTTTATATTTACAATAGTGTGCCCCTGGCATGTTATGTTGAGGATGGTTGATGATATACTGTCCATTTTCCCAAACAGGTTTTCACTCACCTGCACAAATTCTAATGGCGCACACTGAGAAATAATTGCAGACTGAGAAATTACCTGCCTGTCCTTTAGGAAATTCAGAATGACTGATAATTAATATGTTGGTTGTGTGCTTTTAATTTATAATTGTCGTTGATACTCTCTGGCAAAAAATTTGTAATGTTGAAAAACTGCAAGTTAAAAATCATTAAATTTGTTTACAGTCACATGCACATTTTCATACAGTCATAGAATCCTATGGCACGGAGACAGGCCCTTCGGCCCAAACTGGTCCATGCCAACCAAAATGTCCACCTATGCTAACCCCATCTCCCTGCACTTGGCCCATATCCTTCTAAACCTTTCCTATCCATGTATTCGTCCAAATGCCTCATAAACGTTGTTAATGTACCCGCCTCGACCACTTCTGCTGGCAGCTTATTCTATATGCGTACCACCCTCTGTGTAAAAAAGTTGCCCCTGAGATTCCCAATTATTCTTTCCCCTCTTACCTTAAACTGATGCCCTCTAGCCCTCGATTCCCCAGTCTTTGGAAAAAGACTGAGTGCATTCACCCTAGCCATGCCTCTCATGATCTTATACACTTCTATAAGATACCTCCTTAGTCTCCTGCGCTCTAAAGAAAAAAGTCCTAACTTGTCCAACCTCTCCCTATAACTCAGTCCCTTGAGTTCTGATTTTAAAACAAATAAAATGGATACAAAAAGCAGAAAGAAGCTTTTTTTTTGCAAACAATCAAACTTTTGGACAGTTTGGCCTTATTTACTAGCTTTCTGGGGAAATGCAAAGCAAAAGTGCATGGGTTGCAAACTTTCTGAAATGAATGGTAAAATTTCAATTCCAAAGTGGTAAGAATATCAGTAAACTGAAGTCAAAATTTTCCTTGAAGCAAATTGTGCCATCCATAAAACACTGTTTTGTTTCACAGAGGTTTTGAAAAACTAGATATTCATTGTCTCTCTATAATTAATGCTTTATTTGATTGTATTCTTCCAATGAGATGAACTGAGATCTGACTATATTGCCCGCTTAGCTTATCTGCTGCTTCTTGTTGGAACAGTGGAAGCTGAAAATTGTGGCAACTGGCTTTTTTTTTAATTCAAATGAACTGTTCATTTAATTTTCATGCACTTGCACATAAAATCACTGAGCTACAAAGAGAAGATCCTTTATTGTCACGTGTACTCTATTGTAGGAATAGAATGAAAAGCTTTTACAATGTCTGCCTCTTATGACGACATCTTAGGTACAAGTACCCAGGTACAAATCTTGAATACAATGGAGGAATAAAAGTAGTTGCATTACTTTCAAGTTTAAAAATAAGTTAAAAATAGGGCATCATTGAAGGGTTGACATTACAGTAAGGTAAGAAATTTCAAATAAATATTAAATTATAGCAGCTTAGTGCAGGGCCTTTGCACATGGTCTGACTGCCGTGCCAGACCCCAGTCCAACAGCTATTCACACTCCACTCCGAGCCTCCAGTCTGCTCTGTACCAGCACTCAGCTGCACCAAGGTAAGCTGTAGCTCTGTCTCCCCCATGCATGTCTCCATCAGAGGCTCACTGCTCCGGGGCTGCTTCCCCACACTGTTCCATGGGTTGCAGCCCACACGCAGCACCTGGGTTCGTGCCTGTGCTGTTCTGGGGCTCGCAGCCCACGTGCTGCACCAGGGCTCGCAGCCCACGCATTGCACCAGGTCTCGCTACCTGCGCTGTTGTGGGGCTCGCAGCCCACGTGCTGCACCAGGGCTTGCTGTCTGCGCTGTTCTGGGGCACGCAGCCCATGTGCACCAGGGCTCGCTGCCTGCGCTGTTCTGGGGCTCTCAGCCCATGTGCTGCACCAGGGCTCGCTGCCTGCGCTGCTCCAGGGCTTGCAACCCACGCGCTGCACCAGGGCTCGCTGCCTGCACTGTTCTGGGGCTCGCAGCCTACGCGCTGCGCCAGGGCTCACTGCCTGCGCTGCTCCAGGGCTCGCAGCCCACGCGCTACACCGGGGTTTGCTGATTACACTGTTCCATGGCTCACTGCTCCAGGACTTGTTGCCCACACCTGCGGCTACTCTCGGTTTTGTCTCCGGGGCTAAGAGGAGAGAAGGAAAAAGAACAGGCAGAGCAAAGGAGCTCCAGCAGGAGCACACTACTGTGCCGCCATCTTCATGATTTTGAACACTTGGGGTGATTTGGGAAATTCAGGGTTAAAGCCATAGAATCATACAGCAGGGAAACAGACCCTTCGGTCCAACCAGTCCATGTGGACCATTTTCCCAAACTAAACTAGCCCCACCTCCCTACGCTTGGCTCATATACCTCCAAATCTTTACTGTTCATGAACTTATCCAAATGTCCTTTAAATGTTGTAACTGTACCTGCATCCACCACTTTCTCTGGCAGTTTGTTCTACACACAAACAACTCTGTGTAAAAAAAATTGCCCCTCATGTCCTTTCTAAGTCTGTCTCCTCTCACCTTAGACACTTCCACCCTAGGGAAAATACTCTTGTCATTCACTTTATCTATGCCCCTCATGATCTTATAAACCTCAATAAGGTCACCCTGCAACCTCCTATGCTCGAGTGAGAAAAAGTCCCTTCCCATTTCTATTTTTATAACTAAAATTGTCAGTTCCCGGCAACGTTCTGGTGAGTCTTCCCTGAACCCTATCCAGTTTGCTAATATCCTTCCTTTATCACGACGATCAGAAATGCACACAGTACTCCAAAGAGGCCTCATCAATATCCTGTACGACCTCAACATGACGTCCCGACTCATATACTCCAAGATCTGAGCAATGAAGGCAAGCATGCTAAAAGCCTTCTTAACTTCCTAGTTACCTGTAACACAAATTTCAAAGTATTATGTACCTGAATGTGTAGGTCTCTCTGGTCTACAACACTACCCAGTTGAAATGTGACACATTGGAAGATCCTGGAATCATGTAATCTCGGTGGAGGTCATTCAGTGAATCATGCTTATGGTGGTCCTTTGAAAGAGGTCATGAAGTTATCACATTGCTTTTTTTTTCTCAAATAGATCTGCAATTTATTGAGACTAGAAAGAGTAATGCGAAAGTGAAGATAACTAGCACAGGACCAGTTTGGATTTGTTTTTTTTTAACTTAAGCAGTTGGTTGACTACATTACATTTAATGATAAACAGACTCCAGTTATTTTCATAGTTAATTTGTCTAAATCACACATTATTTATTTTTTAAAAAAATAAGTTTTCAGAGCACAATGTAATGCTGCATTTAAGAAGAAAGAAGCAATTTTTATTTGAAATTTCCATTGTTCTGAAATATACTTATTTATAATTTAAAGTTGCAATTTTTGGTGATGTCTCAACCTCAGTGCAAATATTTGTAAGTGCTTACCAGTCTACTGATGGGCAGGAAGCTTGTGTTTCCAACAGCAATGTCTCTATATCCATAGGCTGTTTGTGACTCTTGTGGCAGTTTTTGTTCACATATGTCTAGTTCTTGAGAGATTTACACTATGTCATTCACTTTAAGCCTTTTAAGTTATAACAAGTGTAATTTAGTCATGATCCACTAATTACTTAGAGAGAAAAACAACAAGGAATAAAATCATAAATGAAACTTAACATTGAAATGAACAGAACAACCCAGTAGTATTTGTTGATAATTTCTTAAAAATATGCATTGTTAGAAACTTTTGATTTAATTTAGATTTTTGTATTTTGTGTTAAGGAAGAGACAACATGGTTTTAATTTCATATTAAAGTTGGTCTTGTGGACCTGGTTCCAGGAAATCTGGAAGCCTCTTGGTATATAAACGCATTTTAAGGGGTTTTACAACCTTTGAATGATTAACAGCCCCAATCAGGGAACTCATATTCTAATGAGGTCCACCTGGCTAACCTCATTACAATCACTACAGTATTAGCATCAGCTAGGATCATAACAGTGTGGAGGTATCTAAAGTCAGAAAAAAGACAAGTATTTTATAAAATGGGAAAGCCAGTACAAGGACAAAGATATATTACTAACTGCGATGTTAATGATCAGACAATGCTTAGAGAACGCCATGCAGATTTGAGTGCAGAAGTAACAGAATTAACAATATTTCTACTGCCTTCAACTCTGTCACGATGATGTCATGAAGGGAGACTTGAAATATAGGAACAAAGTTCTGCAGCAGAGAAGCCTGAGAAAATTTCAATACAGGTTTTTAAAAATATGGGAAGATATTTTTATAGTGAAAGCTAGGTAAGAATAGTTCTTTTAGTTGAGAGTCCAGTGTGGAGACGTCAACTTAAAATCAATAGAGTGGAGATGTTAGATGAAATTGCCTGAAACAATCTATTCGATGGAATAGTTGAAGCAGAATGCAGAGGATTTATGGTCCAAATGACACTCTCCTGCATTGTAAACATGCATGATTAACCTTGGAGGGGGTACAGTGTAGGTTTAAAGAATGATACCTGGACTTCAGGGATTAAGTTATGAGGAAAGGTTATACAAATTAGGCCTATTTTCTCCAGAAGGTTTAAGGGATGATCTGATCAAAGATTTCAAGATATTAACAGGAAAAGACAGGGTAGATAAAGATAAACTATTTACATTGGTTTTGGATTCTAGAGCTAGGGGGCATAGTCTGAGAATTAGGGCCAGACTGTTCAGGAGAGATTTTAAGAAGCTCTTCTACACACGAAGGGTAGAAACTGTTTCAAACTCTCTTTCACAAATGGCAGTTGATGCAAGATATGTTGTTAATTTTAAATCTGAGATAATTTTTTGTTAAGCAAAGGTATTAAGGGATGTGGGCCAAGGCAGATATGTGGAGTTAGGCCACAGATGAGCCCTGATCTCATTGAATGGTGGAACAGGCTCGAGGGACTGAATGGGCTTTTCTTGTACCTATGTTCCTATCAATTAGATGCAGAAGTAGGTTGTTTTGCCCCGTGAGTCTGCTCTGCCATTAGATATGTTCTTGTCTTATGTCTGTTTATTTTAAAAGACTAATTATAAGTAATACATGAGATGCTATTCATTACTGAGCTTAGAGCAGAAGGAGCGTAAAACAAGGAATATATTTTTAGAAGCAACAAATCGTAATTTAAAAGCATGCTGCATACTTTTGAACAAGTAAATAAATTAGTGTGAGGTTTATTTGTGTTAATTCACTCAAGTTTTCAAGAGTTTTCAACGTGCTTTTTTAGCAAAATTATACATATCGTTAAAATTAAAAATATTTTGGTAACTTTGAAGCTTGACTTAACTAAGACATTTATATTATTGAATTTATAGCAGTGTAAAGGATGGCCTATGAGTGATATTCCTGTACTGGAACATCCAGAGCTTCCAGATGTTCTTCTAATACCAGTTATTGGTCCTAGGTATGGATATACATTGAGATTGTAGAAAGAAATTCACTCTAGAATGCTCATTAACATTGTTCCTTAACTTCCTTTCCTCCCTCCCAGATATTCCATCATTCTCACTCCGCCCTGCCTCCCCCCGCCCCCGAAACTCAGCCTCCTTCCCTTTCCGTGCCCACCCTCCTGCACTTACTACTTCTCACCCTCCATTTTACACTCCTCTTTTTCTGTCTCCCTCCCTTTTTCTGTCTCTCCCTCCCTATCTTTCTCTCTCACCTCTGCTTTTCCCTCTCCCACTCTGTCCCTTTCTCTTCCTTTTTCTCTTCTCCCTTTTTCACTCCTCCTCCCTTTCTCTCTCCTCACTCCCTTTCTCTCATCGTCTCTCTCTCTCTCTCTCACACACACCCTCTCCATTCCCCACGTCTCTTTGCCCTCCCTGCCTCCCTTTTTCTCTCTATCTCTCTTCTCCCTTCTCTCCATCCCACCTCCTCCCATGACCCCTCAATTTGACCTGCTCCTTATCCTCTATTGTCTGTTTTTTTCTCTCCTAAAAAAAGTCATGACTTGATTTTTAAAAAATTGCCATGTCTTTTTAAATCAATATACACTTGAAATAAAAACCGAAAGAACTGCGGATGCTGTAAATCAGGAACAAAAACAAAGCTCAGCAGCTCTGGCAGCATCTGTGAAGGAAAAAACAGAGTTAACGTTTCGGGTCTGATGACCCTTCCTCAGAACTGAAATAAGTTGTGAACTGCATTAAAATGGATTGAAAGGAATCTAATTCAACATTACATGGTCCAGGAACTTTGTTTGAAAACAGTTATTTTGTGTTTCTAGGATAAATCTGCAGAGGCATTCTATTGAAGTGATTGTGGGAGCACAGTGTGGGAATGCTGTACTTCGTGGAGCACATGTTTTTATTCCTGGCATCCTGTCAGCTCCAAAATGTAAGCTGTGTTTACTTACATCATCTTACTGGTCCTCTGAAGAAAATTATTTTTATTCTAGAGTGCACAGCCATGTCATAATGCTTCATTAGTTTAAAGATTTAGTGTACAGTCTTCTTCAGTTATATGGTTCACTGCCATACCACATGATATATTTATTCATTTAGGGAAAAGAGATTGCTGATTGGAGCTACATGTAAACAAGCTTAAAGTACCATTTTGCATTTCTTTGTCACCCATTAACACCAACCGAAGTTACAAGCAAATCGTAAAAATCCATCTATAAAGTCCAAAGTTAATCCTAGATTTTGCATTGCACTTTCATTTGTTTATCCGGAAAAATGAAAATGCTCTTTCTTTGTTTCAGTAATGAAAGCTGGAGGTGCTGTTTCTGTATATTCCGATATTGGTGGCAAATGTAAACGGGGTGCATTGGAGTTCGTGGGAACAAAAATATTTGTAGGGAATGGAATTGCTGAATTAAGTCGCAATGAAATATTTTGCTCAAACTGCCCTTTAAGGTAAATGTTTTGAAGTACTGTCTGCTTTTGTACACGGCTGCATTATTATTTCCAAAATAAGTATGTGTATTGATCAGAACCAAAACTTATATTAATCTTATTAATCTTATCACAGTGCTTGCTAAATTATAGATGTGATCCACTCTTTGAATATTCCATTCCTGACTCTTGTGAAAGCTTTTTAACGTGTCTAACGAATATCTGAGATTTGGGACGCACATGGTGCGTAAATTGTTGGGGGGTTTTAATTCTTAACTGTGTATTTTAAAAATAAATGTGAAGGATAGAAATAGGATCATGGGAATCTTATGGAGCAGTGGTAGTGTCCCTTTTTCTGAACTAGAAGACCCAGGTTCAAGTCCCAACTGCTCTAGAGGTGTGTCATAATATTTCTAGACCTGTTGATTAAAAACAATCGCGAAATAGGATCATCGATAGATAGTCAGCTCAGTTTATTTTTCTGTCTCCTCCCACCAATCTTGGTTACATAACCATTAACAAAAGCCTATCAACTTAATTTTTGAAAATTTTAATTGACCCTGCATCAATAGTTTTAGGATAGAGAGCTATAGATTTCCACTGAATTTTGAAGACACAATTTCTGATAATACTTCTAAGTGGCTGAGCTTTAACTTTCAGGCTGTGCTCTTTTGTTCTGGACTCTCCCACTGATGGAAATTATTTCTCTCTATCTACCCTATCAACTCCATTAAACGATCTAAACATTTCATTTAGATTGTTTCTTCATCTTCTATTTTCAAAGGGAAATTATGACTAGTTCTGTGCGACCTGTCCTTCTAATTTAACCCTTCTGGCTCCAACATCATTCTGGTGACTCTGCACTGAAACTTCTCCAAGAACAAAATATCCTTACTGAACTGCATTTAGAACTGCACTGTGTACACTAAATAGCTCACAATCAGAGCTTTGTATAGCTGCCACGTAACATTCTCTCCTTTTGTATTTTAATCTTTTTGAGATGAAATCAATGTTCCATTAGCTAACATGTATTCTATAATATTTTATAAAAACAGTAATAACAGGTCCATTTGATTTAGTTCAAAATATAGTCTTTTTACAAATGAAATTGTTTCTGACGTAACGCTAAATTTGTCACAAGGTAGAATATATAGATAACAAAGACCTGTATAACTCGAAGCATGTTCCCTTAATCCTAATATTATTGCTTCCACAAAAAAGCTATTAAAATGCTCAAAAGATTAGAATTGTGGCCAGTGTGTACAATATTTTTAACAAAGTGCATTTGCTGTATATTCATTCCCAGGGGTGTGGGAATTAGAATGACAGAGCCAGTTTACATCAGCCCATCATTTGACAACATCTTATCTAGTTTTGTGTTTTTACAGGTAAGGCTAAATTTTATTGTAGTTTGAAATAATAAGTGCAAAATTGGTTCATGTTGTCATTGCCTGCTCTTGTTCTGTCCTTGAGAGTACAATTGAAAATCATTCATTATTTATTTATTTCCAATGTTATAATCAGCTTTTGCTGGATTTGCTGACAGCTCTGTACTTTGTGCATGATGTTCCCAAAATATTTATTTTACAGGAACAAAAACAGAGAATGCTGCAAATACTCAGCAGCAGGTCTGGAAGCATCTGTGGAGACAGAAACTGAGTTAAGAGGCTGGATTTTGCAGGTGCTATGGTACCTGCCACTCTGGTTCTCTGCAAAAAGAGCTGAAGGCTAGCCCACTCAGGAAAGGATGTCTACCCTGCAACTTTGACATGAGGAGAAGACCTGTTTCCCATAGGCAGCCTTTGATGCCAGCCAATCTGAGGCTGGGAGATGAAATAACTCCACAGAAACCCGTATCCCAAAAACCAAGCCACCCTTTATTTACACGTGGAGAGTCATTGACACCATTCCAGCTTCTTCAGAGCCAGCTCTCAGAATGAACAGAACTTCTGACACTCCTGTTTATATCTGTCAGCCAGGGCTCCTTAATTGGACCAGATTAACAGCCCCAATCAGGGAACTCATAATCTGTGAGGTCCACCTTGCTGACACATTACAGTGATTACAGTGGAACCCATGATCACTGCCAGTACTATACTCAGATTGGAGAAAGTGTTCAGTGCTGGATCAAGACTTAATAAGTTTTGTGACTTTTGCTAGGGCCATGCCGGCAGGGCCTGGCTAACGGGTGGGGTTCCGGGAGTTGAGAGGTCATGGTAGTGGGGAATTGTATGGGCAGAGGGGTGGCAGTAAAGCCTTAGGTGACGAGGAAAGGAGTCATGCGATGGGCCTATTAAGGAGGGATCCCTTATTACCAACCCACTCAGAAACTTGCTGGGCTGGGTACTTGGCATGGGCCTTTCTTTCTGCTGGTTAAATCACAATTGTGGTGTGATTAAGGACCAGACAGTGACACCCATGCCATTGGTAAAGTTGCAGTGGGAGCACGGCTGGTTACCTGCTGGATTTTATATACTATCTTTCTCCTCACCCTGCCTTGAAACTCACTGACTGGGGAGCATATAATGCAGCCCAGTGATCCAGCTCAAAGACCAGAACTGGATGAAATTTGACATATGGACCAGTTTGAAGTCGGTCTACATGAAAGGAAGTTCTGTGATAGCGTGGAATTATGGGTAAATCTGAATCATAACGGTTGGAATTTCATTTCCAAGAAATAATTGGTTCTAGAGATAGTTGTTGAGAAAATATAAATGAGTTGTAGTGTCTGCCTAATCAAATACGAGAAGAAATGGTGAAAACAAGATAAGAGACAAGAAAATCTTTTTGGGCACAAGAGCAGAATTTCTTCAAAATTGGCAATTCTGGAAAAGAAATGGTCTGCTAACAGTTAAAACATTTCGAATTTATTTTTCAGTTCTGATTGAAAGTAGTCAATGTGAAGTGTTGACTCTGGTTTTTCCTTCTACACGCGCTGCTAGACCTACTGAATATTTCTAGCATTTTCTGGGTCTTTTTCAGGTTTCCAGCATTTGCAGTATTTTACCTTTGCACTTAACTTTGTTTTCAACACCTGTAAATTTTTTTTCATTAAGCATATAGAAGGCATAGTGATTATTGTTTTGGGCATCCCTTTATTGACATGCTTAACAGAAGAGCAATTATCAGTGCTTTTATCAACTCATGTCATCCTTGGCAAATTACCTTGAAATCCAATTACACTTGTCAGCAATCACCAAGAACTAAATACCTCCTTAGATATCAACTTCCTTAGCAGTGGGCAGGCTACTGGAGAAAAAGATGGGAAATCAGGCAGAGTAACATTAGTGCAATTTGTTGAAGTGGATGTTTTTAGTATCCACTTAAGCACTAGAGGAATATCTAAATAGATTATGTTAACAGCATGTTGTGACATCTAAATCCTATCCTTTTTGTGATAAAATAGTTTTCTGGATTGTTTGAGAATGTAATTATGGAGATGTTTGCCTTAATATACATGGAAGTTTTAACTCAAGATGTAATAAACATATGAAATTAATCATGGATGCCTACTCAGCATAATAATATACTTTTCTTAATATTCAGAACTTGCCATCTGTGGTAGTGAGTCACGTGTTGGATCCTAAACCTGGAGAGCGAATCTTGGATATTTGTGCTGCTCCTGGTGGAAAGACTACTCATATTGCAGCATTAATGAATGATAAGGTGGGACCAAAGCACCAAAAAATAATCTGCTTTGTGAAATAAATTAGACTGCTTTGACTAAAATATTGGACACATGTTACAATGAAAAATGGTATGATGTTGTTTTCACCATCAAAACTAGCTCCTGAATTCAGCAGGGCAGGTTAATAGAATCGTTAAGAAGGCACATGGGACACTTGGCTTCAACAGTCTTGGAATAAATTATAGGAGCAGGGAGGTTATATTGATGCTGTACAAGACTTTAGTTAGGCCACAGCTGGAGTACTGTGTGCAGTTCTGGCTACCACACCATAAGAAGGATGTGATTGTGCTGGAGCGGATGCAGAGGAGATTCACCAGGATATTGCCTTGGATGGAGCATTTTAATGATGAGGGGCTGGGAAATGTTCGGGTTGTTTTCTTTAGAGCAGAAAACGCTGAGGGGGGACCTGTTTGAGGTGTATATGATTATAATGGGCATAGACAGGGTGGATAGAAAACAGCTGCTGTCCTTAGTTAAGGGTCAGTAATGAAGAGGCATAATTTTAAGGTGAAGAGCAAGAGGTTTAGAGGAGGTTTGAAGAAACATTTTTCACCTCGGGACTCTGGAATTCACTGCCTGAGAGTGTAGTAGAGGCGGGAAATCTCACAACCTTTATAAAGTACACAGATGAGCGCTTGAAATATCATTCAGAGTTATGGGCCAGATGTTGGAAAGTGGGATTCATGTAGTTTTTGAGATAGTAGGAACTGCAGATGCTGGAGAATCCGAGACAACAAGGCGCAGAGCTGGATGAACACAGCAGGTTTCATGTAGTTTTTGTCAGTGCAGACTCAGTGGGTCAAAGGGCCTCTCCTGTACTTTGAGTCTACAAATTACTTATATTAAATCTGCTTTCCTTACCCTACAAGTGACTGCAGACCCACCGAAATGTAGTTGACTCTGAACAACCCTCTGTGGCCTAGCAAGGAATACAGTTCAAGGCCAATTCGTAATGGGCAACAAATTCTGGCCTTGACATTGACCGTCACATCCCCCAAAAGGATAAAGAAATATACTAGTTGGCTTGAAGGTTTAGTACAGGTAAACATGTTGTGTAAAGTTTTGTCATTTTAATATTCTATGAAACTGAACACCATAATGCGCTGAATTATACAAATTACTCTTACCATCCTAACTCCTCATATTCAAATTATGTTCAAGTTGATGTCAGCCTTTAAGGATAAACTACTGCAGTGATTGGCTGTGAAAAAGCTGAAGTAGAGCCACAAAAATGTACCTAGCTAATGAATTTAGTTTCTTTCTTTTAATCTTACCTCTTGTAAAATTGAGATAAATTGCCCTTTACAGAATGGAAAAAAAACTTATTTTCTGACCAGAAATGCATGACTTTTACAACAGGAACATTAAAAATTCATTTGTGATTCAAGACCATTTCCTGTAAGACCATTTAGTTCAGCTCCAGTATCCATTGCATCTTTCCCAGTTGAGAGAGAGTCCTCATTTTTAACCAGAAGTTGATTTGTTTTTTTAGGATGGCGTCGGGACTGACAGAATTATTAAGCAATTCTATTCATTTCTTAGTACAATCACTGCTATTCCTAATAAACAGCGATCAGGATGGAACATTTCTAACAACATTTGATGGAATAATGACCGGTTAATTGTGTGTTATATCCTTTTTGTCCTAATTTTGAGTAATATTCTGTATTGTGAGGGTGAACTACAAGTGGGTTTGGAAGGACTATGCAGTCATACTTATTGTAATATATGTAATCTTGTGTGTAGTGCTTTAATTGGTGTATGACTTTTCTTCCCTCTAATGGTGTTTTGATGCATTGATTCTTTTTTATGGTTATTGGTTACTTGTCTATGTTAAGAAAAATATAACCATAAGAATTAAACTCTTCTACTTAAGATTTTAATTTAAAATTTTAGACCAGAAGTTTTTGTTGCAATTTAGAATGTTATCACATTTTAATAATTATAGAAAAAAAGAAGTTATAAGCTTCAACTTTGATCTAATATGTGATTTAGCAGGTAAAATGTACCATTTTATAATGTATGCAATATTGTTTCCTAACTAACATTTCAAGTCCAGCAATAAAGCTCCCATAATAGATTATCAGCAGATAAAGAAAATGATTGCAAATATTGGAAATATGAAACTGTGTTCTGACAAAGGACATTACTTCGGAAATTAACTTTTTTTTCCTTTCTCCATAGATTTTGGCTCACATGTATTTCAGATTTTTATTTTGATAACTGTAAACATACAGAAACAGTAACCTCTATAAAATTTGGAAAATTTACTATTTCAACAGGGGGAAGTAATAGCAATGGATAAAATTGCAAATAAGGTGAAGAAGATAAAGCAGAATGCTGAGAATTTACAACTGACATGTATTAAAGTGTTTTGTTATGATGGAACAAAAGCACTGGCGAAGGAAGGCATTTGGGATGGGCAAGGTATGAAAGAAAGCAAGAATTGAATAACATTAGACAGTGCGGAGCAGTCAAGATTGTGCTTGTGTATAAAAAGATGCCTTGTATTCTAAAGTACGTCTTGTGGCCTAAGCATCTGACCAAGCAGTTTTAATTATTCAGTGAATGCCTTGGTGTAATTTCCAATATTTAGTTTTACATCTTTATCACTTTAGAAAAAAGCCCATAAGCGCAGTTATTTTATTCTGCCTAAGCTACGTTATAGGAAAAAAAAAAGTGGAGCAGATCTGATGTTGAAAGAAAAGAAATATTATATATGTTTTCAGTTCTGATTTCTTCTTGGCATATGGCAAAGGACATTATTTAATTTGAGATGCTTTGAATAATATTCACCAGAAAATTTATTCTAATTGCCATGTTTCTTCTGTAATGCTGAAATTCAACCTTGATGAAACATGGTATAATTTTTATTAAACTTAAGAGCGTAATCATTATGTTTGTTTCAAGTGACGCAGCTAAAAATTTTGGATTTCTACAGCAGGACCTCCATTTCCACCGGAATCTTTTGATCGTGTTCTTCTGGATGCGCCTTGTAGTGGATTAGGTCAGAGACCAAACATGGCCTGTGATTGGAGCTTAAGGGAAATCACTTCCTATCCGCCATTACAGCGAAAGTTATTTAGAGTGGTAAGCTTTCCCTTCTATAGAGTTTTCTCTGTAAGTTCTTTCTGTTTTACACAACTCAAACATAATAACTGAAAGAAAATTCAGTGAAGACTTATGTATATTTTCGTCTTTAAAAATAAATCATTTTTCAATATTTTGAGAGGCAATGGCTTAGCGATATTTTTGATACTATTAGTGATATTACTACTTGATTGTATACACCCAGGTAATGTTCTGGGACCTAGGTTTGAATCCTGCCATGGCAATTCATTAACAATCTTGAGTTAACAGTCTAATGATGATGACTATTGTCAATTGTCAAAAAAAAAATCTGACTCACTAACGTCCTTCAGAGAAGAAAGCTGTCGTCCTTACCTGGTCAGGCCTACATATGACTCCAAACCCGCAGTAATATGGTTGACTCTCAACTGCCCTCTGGGCAATTAGGGATGGGCAATCAATGCTGGCATAGCCACTTGGAATTTACTACTGTACCATTTTTTGCCATATTTTTGCTTTGTAATCTCCATTAATGAACGCATGTTGTCAGTAGATGATTTCTTGTGTATTATTTATATTGTTATGTACATTTATACATACATTATATATACATCGGAGGTCTAAATTTCACCTGTAGATTTATGATTTCTAATGCTTGTTATTGAAAACAAATCAAGGATACTGCTTTGAATCTATTGTATATTTCCTAGTAGCCCATCAGTAAAATCTAACTTGAGGTATTGGTTGATAATGAAGGATGGCTGTATCAGAGCCAGGTGAAATGGAGGAGATACGGACTCATGATTGGGGTGGAGATCTCTTTCTATTTGTGGTGAAATGGTCTCTACCTGTGGGGTCTGCCCAATCACTTTTCACTAAATTACTGGATTAGGCTTCTTCTTTTATTTTGCCAGAATCTCCATGCTTCTCTTGGATGGAGAGGAATTTAAGTGTGTTCAAGAAAACTTTCTCCATCAATATGTAGATACCCCTTCTCTGGTAAGGCTAAAGTCCGATCTCCTCTTGGGAAGTAAGGGAGGTCAAGTGACTGAAGTGTCAGTGGGGTATCATTTTGGGACCAGTGCCCATAATTCTATTAATTTTAAGGTAGTTATAGAAAAGGATAGGCCTGGTCAACAAGTTAAAATTCTGTTAAAAAACTGGCAAGGCCAGTTTTGATGGTATTAGATAGGAACTTTCAAAAGTTGATTGAGGGAGGCAGTTCGCAGGTAAAGGCATGTCTGCTTTGAAAGTGGGAAGCTTTCAACAGTAAGATAACAAGAGTTCAGGGCCAGCTAGTTCATGTTAGGGTGAGAGGCAAGGCTGGCAAGAGTAGGGAGCACTGAATGATGAGAGATATTAAGACTCTGGTCAAGAGGAAGAAGGAAGCATATGTCAGGTTTAGACAGCTGGGAATCCCTGGAAGAGTATAGGGGTATGGAAATACACTTACGGGGGATATCAGGAGGGTAAAAAGGGGATATGAGATACTTATGTTAGATAGGATAAAGGAGAATCCAAAGAGATTCTACAAGTATATTAAGAGCAAAATGTAACTTGGGAAAAAAAAGATCCCTTAAAGATCAATGAGACCATCCATATATGGAACCACAGGAGATGGGTGAGGTCCTAAACAAATATTTTTCATCAGTGTTTACCGTGGAGAAAGACATGGAAGCTAGGGAACTCCGGGAAATAAATAGTGATATCTTGAAAAGAGTTGACTTTATCAAAGAGGAGATGCTGGAGGTCTTAGAATGCATAAAGGTAGATAAATCCCCAGGACCTGATCAAATGTATCCCAGGACATTGTGAGAAGCTAGGGAAGAAATTGTGGGGCCACTAGCAGAGATATTTGTGTCATCAACAACTATGGATGAGATGTCGAAAGACTGGGTGGTAGCTAAAGTTGTGCCAATATTTAAGAAAGGCTGCAAGGAAAAGCCAGGGAGCTATAGATCAGTGAACCTGATGTCAGTGATGGGTAAATTATTGGAAGGGATTCTGAGACTCAGGATATACATGAATTTGGAAAGGCAAGGACTGATTAGGGATAGTCATCATGGATTTGGGTGGGAAATCATGTCTCGCAAAACTTGATTGAGATTTTTGAAGAGGTGACCAAGAAGATAGATGAAAGTGGAGCAGTAGGCATTGTCTACATGGATTTTAGCAAGGCCTTTGACAAGGTTCCATACTAAGCCTGGTTAGTAAGGTTAGATCAAATTGGATCCAGGGTGAACTAGTGGGTGGAAGAGGGTTGTTGTTCAGACTGGAGGCCTGGACTTGTGGTGTGCCACAGGATCAGTGCTGGGTCCATTGTTGTTTGTCATTTATATAAATGATTTGGATGAGAATATTGGATGCATATAAGTTTGCGGATGACCCCAAAATTGGTTGTAGAGTGGACAGTGAGGAAGGTTATCTAAGAGTACAACAGGATCTTGATCAACTGGGCCAGTGGGCCAAGGAATCGCAGATGGAGTTTAATTCAGATAAATGCAAGGTTTTTTTTTTAAATTTACTCATGGGTCTCTGGCTAGGCCAGCATTTATTGCCCATCCCTAATTGTTTAGAGGGCAGTTAAGAGTCAACCTCATTACTGTGGGTCTGGAGTCACATGTAGGCCAGACCAGGTAAGGATGGCAGTTTCCTCCCCTAAAGGACATTAGTGAACCCAGATGGGTTTTTTCTGACAATTGACAATGGTTTCATGGTCATCATCAGACCCTTAATTCCAGATTCTTTATTGAATTCAAATTCCACCATCTGCCATGGTGGGATTCGAACCCAGGTCCCCAGAACATTAGCTGAGCTTAAAGTTCTTGCGAAGATTTGTAGCTCAGGTTGTGGGTGACATTATTGACTTGCTCGCCGAGCTGGCTGGTTGTAGTTCAGATGTTTTGTTACCATACGGGGTAACCTCATCAGTGCAGCCTCCGATGAAGCAATGTAGTTCTACACACTAGATCATATAAATACCAAGCGGAGTAGAACTACATCGCTTCTTCGAACGCTGCACTGATGATGTTACCTAGCATGATGACGAAACGTCTGAACTACAACCAGTCAGCTCGGCGGGCAAGTCAACAATCTCACATTAGTTGAGTTTCCGAATTAATAGTCTAGTGATAATATCACTAGGCCATTGCCTCCCCATAAATAAGGAGACAGACTCATACAGGTATTGGACAAGCCTACACACATCAAGCATTTATTGAAGGAGCGATGAGAGTGGGAAGTGTTATATTTTGGTAAGGCAAACCTGGGCAGGACTTGGTGATAATGATAGAGTCCTGGGGAGTGCTGTTGAACGGAAGGACCTAGGGGTGCAGGTACACAGTTCTTTGAAAGTGGTGTCACATGTAGACAGGGTGGTGAAGATGATGTTTGGCACACGCCTTCATTGGTCAGAGCGTTGAGTACAGGAGTTGGGATTTCATGTTACAGCTATACAAGACATTGATAAGGCCACATTTGGAGGACTGTGTACAATTCTGATCATCCTGCTGTAGGAAGGATGTTGTTAAACTGGAAAGTCATGCAAAAAAGGATTTCTAAGGATGTTACCAAGACTGGAGGGTTTGAGTATTAAGGATAGGCTGGGACTTTTTACTCTGGAGCCTAAGAGGCTGAGGGATGACCCTACAGAATTTTATGTAATCATGAGAGGCATAGATAATGCAAATAGCTAAGGTCTTTTCCCCAGGGTAATGGAGTCCAAAACTAGCGGGCATAGGTTTTAGGTGAGAGGGGAAAAATTTAAAAGGGTCCTGCGGGACAACTTTTTCACACAGAGGGTGGTGCGTACATGTCATAAGGTGGTAGAGGCTGGTACAGTTACGGCATTTAAAAGACATTTAGACAGATACATGGACAGGAGAAGTTTAGAGAGATATGGGCCAAATGCAGGCAAATGGGACTAGTTCAGTTTAGGAAACCTGGTCAGCCTGATCGAGTTAGGCTGAAGGGTCTGTTTCTGTCCTGAATGACTCTGTTATTTTGCAACACCACATGTGCTCCTGGACTCCGCCTTTGTTTCAATACTTTGGTTTCATAGTGCAAATCTATTGGGACAGTAACACAATTAAGCATTTTGCCGTTTGATCAGTTCCGCCCTTCACTGTATTATAGAGTACTCCGTTTTGTTTTTCCTCTGCTCTGGCTTCCTACGCTTTGTATTGGTTTAAACAGTCTCCATTATTGACATGTAACATTGACACAATGGACAGAATCTTATAAGGACTTGAACAATATGGATTGTAGCTAGAAATGTGACAGAATCAAGCGAGAGGTTCAGTGAGGCCTATCTCCATATCGAGAGCAATTCACTATATCTTTTAACCAAGTTCTGGCTGTGTGAGGCACGATTCTTCCTAGGACATTTAGCATTTGATATACATCATCCCCGCGGAATCCTCATGGCATCTCTTTGATCTATTTGCACTGCAGTCAGGAAGCACATACTTTTATGTTGCAGGGCACACCAGCAGCTTGCATTAAAAGGCACTTTATGTTCAGAGGTAGGCACCTAACTCATGGATTGGACCAGGATGTCTCTCAGGACTGCTTGCTTGATCACTTATGTACTAAAAGACTAAGCACTGTCTGCTTGCCTGCAACATCCATGCCATACATTCTTTTTCACAATATTAACGCAGAGCCTAACTGCTATTGGTACTGTCGTACTCTTTTACAATGGACTCTACTGAATGTAGTGAGAAGCTGACTGATTTTTCTGGGTCTGGGATGAGATGGGGATTGGAGCACAGCAGGCATTTCTTTATTAATATAATGTGTTCCTCAAAGGTACCTCGTTAAGTTGGTGCACATGCAGAGGTTGATGCTGAATGAATGATGGGATGTGGCTTTCATTGTCAGGGTGTTGCAGTAAGTATACAAGGGGGAGTTTGTACAGCCCTACTTTTCAGTGTATGCCACAACTGACTGTTCATGGAGCCGAGAACCTGCTCCACTCCTTATGCTCCTAACATAGGTCATGCCTAACAAGTGTCATGCACTCAGCCACTGGGGGGTTGCTGGTCACTATGGCTGCCTTCCTAAGAAGGAAATGTTGGATGAAAGAGGACCAGCAGGTAGCAAGCCCAGGAGCAAAAGCACATGATCGCAGAGGCTAGAAAGTACCCAACTAGGCAGACGTTGCAACTGCAGGCCCCCTCAAGATGTATGGGGTCTACAGGAGGACCAGAGCTTTTCACCACTGACTCAATTTCCTGGGGATAAGCGAGACGCAATGTTGATGCAGGGCCCGTATCTGTCAAGGCATGCTGACGGACCAATGCTGGAGTGGTTCCTGAGGGCTTCAAGAGTAGGAGACCATTCTCTGCCAGTGCTTCCAGGACCAATGATGATCTGTGTGGAATCTCTCAGTTGTGCATCCACAAATGTATCAGGGCACTAATTGATGTCATCTATGTGAGATCAGTCCAGTTCATGTTGTTTTTAGATGACAAGGTCATTGCTGCAACCCAGGCACTGGGATTTAGGAGCATAGCTGGCTTCCTGCAGATGCAGGGTGCCATCGACTGCACACACATGGTGCTGAGAAGGGTATATCACAACACAGTGGAATTCATCAATAGTGTTGGTTTAATTTAGTTAATATACAGGTGATCTATAATCACCGTTACCACTTGCTGGAGCTGTTTTTTTTTCTTTACTCCTTCATGGGATGGGGGTGTGCCCACTAGCCTGGCAGCTGCCACGACTCCTACATTCTGGAGCACTGTTATACACTTGGTGAGTTTGAGGGTCCAGGAGCCTTTCAAAGTTATTACTGGGGGACGAGGGCTACACAATATGATCATGGCACTTGACACCATTGCTCAACCCTGTAACCGATGAGCATATACAAAGCTGCCCACGCTTCAACCGGGGCCATGGTGGGTTAGAGCAGACAACAGGCTGCTGAAGGTGCAGTTTTGCTGCTTAGATTGGTCTGGTGGGGCCCTCCACTATAGCCTGTACAGCGTGCCACATCATCCTAACACAATTGGAGCAGTCAGCTAAGCAATATGATAGATACTGAGGTTTTGGCGGGGGGTGAAGGAGGAAGCGGTCATCCAAGAAGAAAGACAAGGACGCTGGGAAGCTGTCCTTGTACATAACAGAGCCCAGTGGATCTGGTGCTGCAAGCCAGACAGAACCTTTTATTATTTGTTTATGGGACACGGGTGTCGCTGGTTAAGCCAGCATTTATTACCCATCCTTATTTGTCCAGAAGGCAGTTAAGAATCAACCATTTCTGTAGGTCTGGTGTCACATGTAGGCAAGACCAGTAAGGGCAACAGATTTCCTTCCTGAAAGGGCATTAATGAGCCAGTTGCATTTTTACAACAATCAAGAATGGTTACATGGTCATTATTAGGCCAGTTGTCTAATCCAGACTTTTATCAAATTCAGATTTCACTGTCTCCCGTGGGCCTGTGTTCCTAGAACATTGAGGTTTGGGGTTCTGGATTACTAGTCTAGTGAAATTACCTCTATGCCACTATCTCCCCATAGTCTGATTGTTAGCCAGTTCCAGTAGATGAAAGCTGAATGCAGCAAACTATTGTATAATGTAAAATAGTTATCAGTCATCATTCCAGCATTTCAGTTGCATTGTGGAGGTGAACTGCAGCCTCAATTCATTCTGTTTGTTTTCACTTTTGGTGGCTGCAAATAAAAACTCATGTTTGAATTTGTCTGATTGCTCTGCCAAATGTGATGTTCCTCTACTGAGCAATGACAAGCTGGAGGTCTACAGTGGACATTGGAAACAGAGTAGCAATGACTTGTGATTGTTTAGATGGGATGTAGCTAGGGACAGGTAAACTGTGTGGCCTGTTCTCTGAACAGTAACAAAGGTGAGAGATGTGGAGTTATATGTGAGAGGGTGTGTCAGCCGATGCTGTGCTGTGAGCAGCGTGGCTTTGTGGTTTTTGTGTTATTCCATTGCTGGTGAGGGAAGCACCAGAATAGTGGCATCGTGGCCTCTCAAAGAAGGTATGAGCACCAAGGATGCCTATCTTTTGGCAGATATCCTGTGAGTGGCTGGTTGTTCTTGGAACAGAAGGCTAGGATGGGGCTAGGATCAGGCGAGAGCGATGGCATAAGGCCATGGGGGTTGGTTGTTAATGAGCCAAGTTTGATAAGGTACAGTCGAGATATCCTACTAGGCTTCACGGCAAGGAACCCGGTACAAAACTCTGCAAAACCGACTTTTGGCCAAAAAAACTTAAGATTCAGCCCGATGTTTGTTTTTCTACAAATACCTCCTGACATGTTGAGTGTTTCTGGTATTTCTGCTATTATTTTATAATTCCAGCATCTGCAATTATTTTGGTTTGATATTTGCCTGTGGTCTCTAACTCTGAATTGTTTGCCTAGGCAGTGAACTTACTAAAACCTGGAGGCATTTTGGTGTATAGTACTTGTACAATAACATTGGCAGAAAATGAAGAACAAGTTGCCTGGGCACTCGATTCTTTTCCTTGTTTAAGCCTACAGTCACAGGTAAGTATGTAATTAACCTAGTTAATGTAGCTTCTGAAGTGATTGTTTCACCAGGTTGTTATAGACTGTTTTCTCCAATAAATCTGTATGATTTCTGCATGTACGTTTTAAATTTGATTTAAAATAAACTTTAAATATTAAAAAATCAGCAACACTGGCATCCAGCCAGTGATGTCCACATCCCATGAATGAGTAAAAAATACATGTTTATCTGAACATATACATTGCTGTTAAGGGCTCAGTTGACCATTCTTTAGTCATTCATAGGATATGGGCTTTGCTGACTATGCCAGCATTTATTTCACATCCCTAACCATCCGCAGAGCAATTATGCCATTCGACATTAAGGAACATTGGTTAGATTTTCTCTTGTCAGAGATGGTCGTTGCCTGTACTTGTGCAGTGGAAATGTTACTTGCCACTTAACAGCCTAGACCAGGATATGATCTGGGTCTTGTTACATATAGTCAGACTGCCTCAGTATCTGAGTGCTCCTGAATGACAGTGAACTTTGTGCAATCATCACCAAATATCCCACTTCCAACCTTATTATGGAAGGATGGTTATTAAAGAAACAGCTGAAGGTGGTTGGCCCAAGAAGACTACCGTGAAGAACTCCTGCAGAGATGTCCTTGGACTGATATGATTGACCTCTAACAACTACAGCCATCTTTCTTTGTGTTAGGTATGACTCCAACCAACTGAGAGTTTTTCCCCATTAATTTCAGTTTTGCCCAGGCTCCTTGATGCCATACTTGGTCAAAAACTACCTAGACATCAAGGGCAGTCACTCTCCTTTCACCTCAAGTTCAATTCTTTTCTCCAAATTTGGACTAAGACTGTAACGAGGCCAGGAGCTGAGTTAATCTGGTGGAATCCAAACTCAGCATTACTGACCAACTTATTCCTTTGTAAGTGTTGTCAATGACCCCCTCCATCATGTTGCTGATGATAACGAGTAACTGATGGGTGTGCTAATTGCCTGGATTGGATTTGTCCTGCTTTCTATGTACAGGACATAGCTTAGCAATTTTCTACATTATCTGATAGATGCGAGTGTTCTAGCTGTTTGGTTAGGGATGTGGCTAGTTCTAGAGTGTAAGTGCAATGACTGGAATGCTGTCAGGGTCCATAACCTTTGGCAATATCCAGTGACTTCATCTATTTCAATTTCCTGCAGGTGGAGTCAAAGCTAATTGTAGTCTTCAGGTGATGCAAGGTCAGAGGGTGCAGGATAATTGGGACATAACTGAACCTTATTTTAAAGACATATACCCTATCGCTTACCTTTTCCATGTATTCGATTGAAAATGTCAACTAAAACACAAATATCAAAGTGTGACTGATTCTACGTATTGCAGTTAGATTGAGAATCTTGACCGTAGCCTTTGTTGGTATGGGGAAAATGTAATTTAGAAATCCAAATTTAGAGACTGTATCATAACTTTTTTTTAATATTTTTATTCATGGGATGAGGACGTCACTGGCTATGCCAGCATTTATTTGCCCATCCCTAATTGCTAGAGGGCAGTTAAGAATCAACGCATTGCTCTGGGTCTCAAGCAGACCAGGGAAGAATGCAGATTTCTTCCTAAAGGACATTAGTGAACCAGATGAGTTTTACCAGTAATTGACAATGAATTCATGGTTGTAATTAGACCCTTGATTCCAGATCTTTTTCTTACTGAATTCAGATTCAACCATCCACCGTGGTGGGATTCAAACTTGGGTCCCCAGAACATTACCTGGATTAACAGTCCAGAGATAATGCCACCAAGCCCAATTCCAGGAAATTAATTACCGTCTCCATCCAATGAGAGATTTATCTTCATAAACCCGAGCAATATAGTGTTGGGTAACATAGCTAACATTTCCAAAACCAACTACCTATCTAAGCCACCAAAGCTCACAAGAAGAACTGCTAGGAATTTGGTAATTTCTGCTCCTAAAACATTTATTTTGCTGCAGATTTCATATTTTGTGTTTCTGTTTTAAAATTAGCAATTTCCAGGATAAACCAAAAATAACATTTAAACTGTGTATCCACTTAACATCGCAATTTTTAAAATCCATTCACAAGTTTTGGGCATTGCTGGCTGGACTGGCAGTTTTGCCCATCGCCAACTGCCTTTGACAAGATTTTGATGAGCTGCTTCTTGAACTGCTACAGTCCAAGTGGTGTAAAGATACCCATTAAACTTTTAGGGAGGGCATTCCATGATTTTGACTCTGCGACACTGAAGGAACTGCGATAAATTTTCAAGTTAGGACATTGAGTGATTTGGAGGGGAACTTGCAAGTGGTGTTGTGTTCATTTATCTTCTGCTTTTGTCCTTCTGGATGGTGGTAGTCATGGGTCTCAAAGGTGCTAAGGAGTCTCGGTGAATTTCTGCAATGCAGCTTGTAGATGGTATGCACCGCTGGTTCTGTATGTTGATCATGGAATGAGTGACGATTAGTGGATGTGGTGCCAATCAAGCGGGTTTCTTGACCAGGTTGGTGGCAAGCTTCCGAAGTGTTGTTTGAGCTGCACTTCTCTAGGCACGTGGGAGTATTCCATCACATTCCTGACTTGTGCCTTCTAGATGCTGGGCAGGTGAGGTA